AATAAGGGATTTCAAATGGAAAGCCACAGTACAATTTTTCTATATAATTGAGACAACCAGATATAATTTTCATCAAAAGAGTGACATCTGAAACTTACACAAACTTGTAGGAAAAACATTACCAAAGGATGGAAAGGAATACACAATTGAAAAATGTGTATCTGAAATAAATCAGTGCAAAAGTACAAGAGTATTTGTAAAATATATATTTTATATGTTGTTCGTGATGTCAACACCTGCATATACATTAATGAACAATATTGAATAAAATGTTGTTTTCTGCTCAGAAGCTGCAAACTGAAAACTATTCGCTACAGAAATGTAAGCAATTCACTGGGAGTGAAGCCGATAAGATTTTGTGACCTTGACACAATAAAAGTTACATGCCACTGCATCATTGTACGATGAACCATCTGTGTAAAGAATATATGATCCAGACAGGCTTCCCTCATTTCTCAAAAAAGTATCTGGTAAACAAAGGGAAAAGTAATTTGTTTGGGAAGATTGACAAGCGAGTTCAATATTGGGGTGGAGGAGTTTCCAATGAGGAATAAGGTTTCTAGAGGGTTTCTCAGGGGAGGGAAAACCGACCTTAAGATCCTGCAAAAGATTTTGCAATTGAATACCTCAGAGCTGAGGTAGCCATGTTTGAAGAATATATATGGTCTCATAATCAGAATGGATAATTATTTGGAGACAGGAATGATTAAAGTGCCCTGACAGATTAGCACCATAAGACGCCAATAGAATATCCTGCCTTCTTTTTAAGGATGGCTCCCCAGCATCAGCTACAAGGCACTCAATTCGGCTGGTGCAACAGTTGAGAGGCAGACACCAGCATGGTGTATGCCATTAATGGGTTGGAGAGTGGAGGGAGTTGCAGACCCATAAACCTCACTGCCGTAATCCTAAACTGAGCGGACGAGTGCTCTATATAACCGCAATCAGATAATACGGTGGGCTCCCTATGACGTACGAAAACGCATTAAGGGGGGGAAACACATCTGGTTAGTAGTCTACAGATATGAGCATGCCACATGAGAGATTTGTTTAACATTATCCCCTAGTACTTGGAAAATTCTGCATATGGAAGCTGATTTCCTCTCAAGTAACAGACTGGATACAAGTAGTAAATCCTGCAGAAATGCACACCAGTAGATTTAGTAGGAGAGAAGTTAAAACCTGAGGTCATGCTCCATTCATGGAGATTCGTGAGCACCAGTTGAAGTTAGCTCTGAATGCCACTGATGCTGCTGTATGAACAAAAGATGGCAAAATCATCCACAAACAGCTAAGCCTTAACACGTTCTCACACAGTCAACACTATACCATTTATGGCGATGGCAAACAGAGTGGTACTCAGAACCGATCCTTGCGGAAGACCATTTTCTAGAGGGCGACTGCCAGATAGCCCAGGAGTGCAGGGTCTGCAGAACGCCATACCTCCAAGTACTGCCGTAGACCTTTTCTGTGACAAATAATACGGCCACAAGATGTTGCTTCAAGTCAAACAATGAACAGATTGCTGTTGCCAACACAACAAGGTGGTCCAAGGTTGACTAGTTTCTTCTAAACCCGGTTTCGATTGGTGTCAACAGATTTCTAGGCTCCAGGGTCCAGGTGAACCAATGATTCACAATGTGTTCCAGTACTTTGCACACACAGCTTCTGAGAGAAATAGGTCGATAGCTTGATAGCAATGATCGATCTTTCCCTCTTTTGGGACCCAGAATGATGATGGCTTCTTGCCATAGAGCAGGGATGGAGTACTCTCCCTAGATATGATTGTAGAGTCGTAGGATAAATTGCTTGCCCATTTCGGGAAGATGATATAGCATTAGATTAATGATTTTATCTGAACCCAGTGCAATTCTTTTCGTAAGTACCAAAGCAGAGGGCATTTCACACTTGGAGAATGGGGTATTGTAATCCTCAACTGCTCTGCTTGAAATATCCAAATTTGTTTCCATTCTTTCTTTGAGCAAAAGGTAAAGATAATGCGCAGTAAGTGCCTCTACAATTGTGTCATGGGATGTAATCATCTCACCATTCTTACAAAGACTCTACACGGAATTGGAATATGAATATCCCTTGAGGCACCTTCCACCATACCACACATAATGGCACATGGCAATTGAAAGAGGAGGCATATGCTCTCCACAATGAATTTTTTCTTTCTCGAACAGTTTTCCACAACTTTGCTCTGCACCACTTGTAATCAATTAGATTATCCATGGTGGGGATAGTTCTTCAGGCACACCAATGCCTCTTTTCATGCACTGACCACTCTTGAGCAGTTCGGGTTCCACCATAGGTTCTAAGGGTGTTGCAGTTTACAGGTCGACTTGGGAATTGCAATATCCACAGTTGGTACTACAACACACTTAAAACTTGCTGCCATTTCGTCCACAGAGTCAAAGTCACCCTCTGACAGACTGACATTCAGTTAAAATTTCGATCAGTCTGTACAGAGGGGTCAAGGTAACCCACAGACAAGACCATCGATGTACACGATAGTGGGGCAATGGTCGCTTCCATACAGGTTGTCTAGAACAGACTATTGCAGAACGGATGCAAGTGATGGGATGGAGAGAGCCAGATCAATACACATGCTTGTGTTTGTGGCGAAATGAGTGGGTTCACCTGAGTTCAGAGTGACCAAATTCAAATGTGTCTATTACTGATTACAATATGCTGTCTCTCAGACAAGTGTGGGATGAACCCCTAAGTGGACTGTGGGCATTTACATCACTATCAAGAATGGACAGGGCAGATGGTATATCAAGCCCAAAAGTTTATCAGCGGATACACTATGTACTGGAGGGATGTGGACTTCACAGACAGTGAGCGTGAGGGATGGGAGGTGCACCTGCACACACACACTGTTTGGAGCTAGGTGTTTAACTGAAACGTCTGTAGACGTGAGTCATGGATCAAAGTAGCAACTCCACCATGTGCGCTGATGAGGCCATCATCAACATCAGTCCAATATGGGGTAAACTCGCAAAACCATAGGGGGCATGGTGCAACAAGATGTGACTCCTGTAAACAGAATATTACAGATATTTAACAGGACAACAACAGTTTCAAATCATCCCACCGCGAGGAGACACCATTCGTATTCCATGATAGTATACGTTATTTCTTTTTTCTTCTTCAGCGTTGTGTCCCGAAAGGGCAAAGTTCCTCCGAGGTAGAATTCTCCTGAGAACTGCCTGGAGGATAGATGTGGAGCGAGTATTCGCAGGTGCAGTTTTTCGCTTTTACGTTGATACAATTCAGTGTTCTGCTCTTCGTTGTGTAGTTCAGCAAGTTCCACAATGTATTCAAATTACTTTAAGAAGCCGAAGTGCACCTACTCAAATAATTCTGAAGAAATATTTTGTTCGCAATCTAACAACAAATCAAATAGTGAAGGGTTTTTGCAAGTGAAATCCAGTAAAATTCCATTATGAGAGTCATTTGGGAAGACTGATTTTTTAAATTAACATAATACGCACATTCTTACATTTTTATCTACACTTTCTTAAACTTATAGTTCTCAATTTGACGTACGATAAGCACTTCTAGTACTGACAAAACATGTTAAGGAAATTAAGCATGAATAAGGTCTCAATAGAGAATGCATGCCTTAGTGCAATTCTCAAGAAAAAAATTTGCAGGTAAACAGTAGGAGATTCTAACCTTTCACAAAGGAGGTGGGTTATTTCTGGAAGGGCATTTCTACAGACATGAATCTCTTCTTATACAAACTCGTCAAATGTGTTTATCAGTAAAACCAATACACTACATCTTTAACCAAATGGGAAAATTTGTCATTTCAATATTTGAACCAATATTCTGACTCCTTATATGGGCAACTTACATGCAGATCTCTTACACGTAGAAAGAAAAGGCCTATAATTCATATACTGAATTTAAGATACTGACTCTCAAATGGAGTTCTTCAGATAATTGGTTTCACTGTATTTAAAAACCTGAAATTCACTCCCATTACAACTGTAAATGAAATTAATATCTCCAACTAGTCAATAACATAATTGCATTCACCATGGATGAAATAAATATACTTTCCAATATCATGGACCTTTCGGAAGTTATTGTTGGTGTTTGAGAGGGGGAGGGGCGATATGTGGATACGACAGCTGTATACATAATTGTACTGAACAGTGAATCAATGCATTCCTTAAAAATAGTACACAGCGTTTGCAAGAGGAAATAGTTATTTATGAATTATTAATTTTTATTATGTTTGAAGAAAACTCAGTGGACAACACTTTGAGAAACTCAGTGTTATTAAAGTTTTGGTACGATAGCTCCTGTTCTAACGTTCCAAAAATAATGCCTGCATACTGACACTGCAGGATTAGTTTTGGGCATATATACGGTACATTGCTTTTACACCAAGGCACATAATTCATGTTCCAGAGATGTCTAATTTGCATATTCTTTATAAAGCAAATTTGTTATTCACACAAATTTATTTCACTTGAAAGAAATAAGGTAAACAATTCATCGAAAGTTGACTACTTATAAGGTACAAAAATTTGACAATCTTAATTCATTTTTAACATCAACTCAAAAAATAGTGACAGATAAATCAATATTGAAACATTAAATATCTTTCATTTTAAGCAAGTGATCACATTTTATAATTTTTGAAGATTTCAGTTCTTTTCGTATTTACTTTGGACAAAACAAAATAAAGAAGAAACAGTAATATAGCAAAAGTGAGAAATGGTGCAGAGAAAAGGTTTTGTTTACATCTCTAAATGAACAGTGCAAAGCAATTAACAAATTCAAACAATGAAAGGTTATGAAGTAATATTTTAAAGTCAACAGGAAAAAAATATTGCTCCAAATACAAGCAGATTACTGTTTATTACTACAAAATTTATGAACAAAAAAGCATATCTCCATCAACTACTTGTACAGAAATTCTTATTACTAAAATATACTTAAAAAACTATTATTAATAAATAATATGAAAACGAACGCACCTTCAGACATTTGATATTTACCTCCATCTGCACGAATGGCGTTACACAACAGTTCTCTACATTTTAGACGAACTGCATCTGTTGTGTTAGTAGAAGATGGAGGGAAGGATGTTTGCATTTTCTTGCTTTCTTTTTCTCGTTCTTTTGAATCTGAATCTCTCATGGGTTTTTCCTCTTTCTTGACTTTGGAACTCCCTGGTGTCTCTTTGCTACTAGGTGCATTTGGACCTGCAAAGAAAACAAGAATTTGAACTTCTAAACATATAAATACCTATAACAATAATGCAGAAATTAATTTTACCTGGAAGAAACTTTTTCCAGTTTCGAATTATAGTTTTTGAAAGGCTGATTACTTCTTCATCCGAGCTTGACTTACGAAGTGCATTAACAGTCATCCCAATTCTTGTTTTTGTCAAGATATCAAGATTAACAGGTAAGTTTTGAAGGGTTTTAAGTAAGTCTAATGCTTGTTCTTGACCCTGAAGTGAACAAATTCATAAATCAGATACTAAACAATGAATTATGCTTTAAACTTTGCCCAGTATCTACACATGAACTGATATAACAAGAGATGCCAAAATGCTTTGTACGAAGGCAAAAATAATATCACAATTCAATTACAAATAAGAACTTCACACAAAATTATTCCCTAATACAAATACACCGATATGTAAGGAAAGCGTGCTTTCTATCATGCAATGAACTTTGCATTTTAAACAGAAATATTTCTAAAATCGCACAGCTACCAAAAATAAATTTTCGTCACAAACGAAACAATATAACATGCTTTAAACAAATAAATAAACACACAGATCCATCAGCTGATGTCATTTTATTGAGCTTCTTTTGAATTTTCATAACTTCTTCCTCAACACTCATGATCGGGAAGCGTGGATAAGAGTCGGTTACAACGAAAGATATGGCCTCCACCACAGGCACGTCCCAACAGAAAACTGAAGTTAAGAAGACAACATCACAGGACCCCACTCCAACATGCCGATTTACGCGAACAATTGACGATACATACATGCAAGCCAACTTTCGAGATTGTACACATTAATTTTACTTTGCTCTTATGACCACTGGGGTGAAGAACATTATACATCCGTTATCAAATCATGCAATAAAATTTATTTATTTTCAATTTTTTGGGGAGAAACGCTCCGTATGTTTGAATTAAAAATACCTTTAATCACGCTACGGTGTATGTTGGCTACATTGAGGACGCCCCGGCGAAGAAGGCTGAAGGACGATGTGGGGGTGGACACGTCCGATTGCCGATTCGAATCTAAATAGCTTATAAAAAATGCCGGCATTATTCAACCAGAATTTATAGTTTGCAATTACACTAACTTGCTAATATTACATTGTCTAACTCTTGCAAAGATTAAATAAGAACTTCATTTTGAGAAATTTGATTCCTCAGCCTTAGTCCACGTTAAATATACGTTCTTTGTTGTATGTAAATATGGAACTGCGTCTTCTCAGCATGAAATTACGTTATAATATGTATTTCACTCCGGACTTTTCACATCGACAATTAAGCTGGGGCAAAACCTCTAAAAAATTGTTCAATTTAAATTCTACAAGACATTGCTGTTTAAATAAAGTTTTGTTTCAAGACCACTAATGTGAAGTCCTTTTCAATCGAGATAAATGAGACAGTTCAAAGTTGGGGTAAATAACGCTAGATTCGACCTTAATTTAAAATGTAGATAAACTTCAATTGCCTATCTTACAACAGTCACGATTAATGTGTTCTATTTGATATCTAAAGATATATCCCGACTACACAACTGATTAAGAGTGAATATAGAAGCTAAGCAATTCATTGTTGCTTCTCACATTTACAACTCCCATGAATAAACTTTGAAAATAAAAATAATATGTCTGTAGCTAATCTCTTGAATTTCTTTCTTCTCATTTTCAAGAAATCCACTTTCAATACTTAAAATCTACGAGGGAAATGGTTATTTCCCATACTCAACAAAAGAAGTATTCCAAGACAAAAATATTTATCATGATACCAATTACATTGGTCTAATTATTTTGTAGGGTAGGCAACACAAGGGAAATCATCTGGATTCAGACCTCTTAGGATGTGGGGTGTGAACATGCATTTCTTCAATGCTATTAATATTGAAGAGAAAAAATATATCCATTATAATGGCAGGTAAAAAATAAAAAATGCATTTCAAACATGCATGACAAGCTATTTTGGTTACTACAAGAAATAATGAATAAGAGAAATATGTGTAAAGTTATTTATAAAATACTGATGCAACAGCAGAATCTAGACCCTATATAAACAGTATGTACACTGATATATCTATTTTCAACATAATTAACTTTGACAATGCACATAGACAATATAAAACACTGTAAATAATGAATTTCAAGATGTAAAAAGAGATTAACAAAAAGAAAATAATTGAGGGGCATGCAGCATACTCATATTTTCATAAGAAAGCACTTTTACATCTTAAAAGCAGAAAAATATAAAATAGTTTTCATTTTGTAAAAATTGCATTGATTTAACAGCAATCTATGCAAAATATTCACTTACCAGAAATTTACCTGCCTTGGGAGCACTAACTCCGAAATGAATAAGTTATTGGTTTTAAATATCAGTAATAAATTAAGTCTTTTTTTTTTTTCAATACATTTTACCTTTATATTAAAAATTACCAGTACAAAGGGCTCCAAAGCAAAATAGCTACTAATATCCAATCAATGTCAGTGCAATAAGGTCCAACCATTGTGTTGCACCTAGTTAGCCATGGCTAAAAGGCATCAGTAAAGCTGATCATACATTTCAGACATAATTGCACCAACACCATAAGGAATTTCAAGAAGGCTATCCATTTTCCATTCTTGTATCACTAAATGCAAAACAAAGTCTTGAAAAATCTCAAGTCGGTTCCACGTATTTTACATAAAATGTTAAATGCAATTGTCATATTACATTCATTTTACATGCTGAGTGTATTCACATAAGTTTGAAAATTTGTCACACATGCTGAAAACCACATCTACACATTTCCCAGAGTATCCTGTCATTTATATCACTAAACGTGATTTACATATTAGCTTAACATACAATAATAAGCAATATTACACCTGCATGAAATAATTATGTACAAGTTCTATACACCAAGATACTTATGACAGTACAGAAATGAGATTCAAGCCTACGTAAATGCTGAGCCCTCGCTGCATCTTTTCACATAGTTCAGTAGTTCATTCAGATCACTGACGTTACAGAGAATCAAAAGGATCGATTTCTGAGGTAGATTGCATCTGAGGCAGTTCATACGCAAATGTCAGAGGCCACACGCGATAAATACGACAAAAGGGAAATGTAAGTTTTACTGCAGCTTTCCAGAGTACAAAATGCCTGATATACATATTCCTGCAAATCAGCCCAAATATTCAAAAGTGATCTTGTATTGGTCAAGATAATAATGCGTTGACAATGCTCATATTAATTACATAAAAACAAATTATGAATTCCACAATAAAAATACTGCTCATTTCCAAAAAAAAAAAAATTTTCATTCACATATGTATTTACAGAATACAATGTGCCTTCTTTGACTTATCATCATAGTACCCTTTTAGCATAACAAAATTATGTAAAATATCACACTTAAATATAGCTATTCAGCAGTATAGAATAACAAGCTGATCATTCATACTCTGTGTGATCTCTCATTCGCACAAAATCTACCATAAGCTGAATGGATCTATATTAGTATAGACATTTTCACTATTTGTCCTGATAAAAGAATGATACATGCATATGAGGTTGGGAAATGCCTTTATTCAAGTACAAACTGGAGAGTTTTCACAACCCTAACTTCAGGGCAGATGATCAAAGGATCTACCTCTAAAGTCATGCTAAGAGGCACGTTAGAGACTATCGCTATTGAGAAACAAAGTATTTGTGACATCGTGAGCTATGGCATGTCTGTCTCAATTGAGAAAAGCTACAGAAAAACAAGATCAGCTGCAATGCAGGAGGCAATGAATTCAGCATTCATCCAGATCTGTACTCGAGTAAAGAAACAACCAGAAATGATCTGGACTAAAGGAAGCAACAGGGGTGTGAGCCTCCTCAAACAAGCACAGGACATTGAGCAAGGAGTAGGAAGGAGGTGGAAGACAACACAACGTCCAGTCTTGCCATTCTCACACACATTACAGAAGGCATCTGCAACAAGTATAGATACACTTGCAGTTCCAGGAGGCCCTGCTGTTGCACATATAAGTACTGTACTGTACACAAGAGTCATGACATACGAGTGTCTAAGAGAAGGGCACACTGTTCACCGGATCAAACAGGTGACACACAGGCGCGATGGACCTATGCAATCATCATGACAAAAAGCACCACATTTCTTGCACATTATCATTGCTTTTAAATTACAAGCACAGTCAGAACGTGCAGTTGCAGCCACATGATTAGGAGCAGTAGCCCGCATGTTTGCAGGTGCTTCTGAACCTTGCTGCTCCACATCTGCACTCGCAGGCCGACCTCGGCCTCGGCCCAAGCCTGCTGCTGTCATCAATGTATTGTTGGCAGGTGGCGCACTTGAAGCTCGTGGTGGAGCACCCGTTCGTCGTCCTGCACCATTCACATTAACAACAGCTTGAACTGTGGGATCCCCAGGCACATCACCAACACCAGTGCGTTGCACAAGGATGTACTGTCCTACATGGCCTATCTGCGCACTTTGCTGTTCCAAGACCTGGGTATAAATGAAGCAAGCACATATCAATTAGGATTTGAAAGTAATACACACCTAACACTACTGACAAATCCAACTGGTGGAACTACACAAAAACATGTCTTGAATAACTATGAAAAAAGAAATACATTCAAATCAATTTCTGATCCTACAGGATCATTCCAGTCCACAATTAGCATAAACAATTAGTGACAACACAAAATATGGAACATTAATCAGTCTTGAATCTTATGTTCAATGAAAATGTAGAACAATATAACTATAGTACAGAGAGAAAAAGAAAAATCTTAATTTTGCTCTAATGCATTGTTTCACATACCTGTGCTTAGGGTATCAGAAAAGTAGTCATGCAATATAAAAAAAAAGTGCCTTGGTTAATAACCATTTGTATTTATTTGGTAATTATTTACTTTTGTTACATTGGTACTTTCAGAACCAAATTTTGTCTTCTTCACATTCTACCAAATTGTACAAAAATACATTATTTCTATTGAAAAATAGTTTATTGTCTACATCAAGACTTATGTAATTCTTACAAATCACTAACAGTACTTAGTAATAGTTGATGAGTTACGATGATCAATGTCAAAGGAATGAAAAGGTTTGCTAATACAAAACAAAGAGACTTTATAATTCCAGAGTACGGTGAGATAAAAGTCACTCAATTTTTTGAATATATACCAAAGATTTTATGTTTATTGCATATTTTGCTTTGATTAAATTCAAATGTTTGTCTAAGTAATTATCACATGAAAATACTGTCTATTAGGACCACTTGATCCTAAACTCCATTTAGGCCCACTAGGATCACTTGGTCAAAACTCAATTTCTAAGGTAACTTTCTAAACTTAAAAATAAGAACTTCCTTATTGTTAGAAATGGTAACTTTTCAAAAACATAATCAGAATTATTTTATTTTATTAGTTTAGGATTTACATTAAGAACTGAATTTCAATCAATTCCTTATTGGCCTTCTTTTTAATACCAAATATTTATTTTGGAAGTTCCAGTTCTAAAAAATATATTACATTCTGCTGAAATGGACTTCCCTTTCTACCCCTCCATGGACAATTGAAAATACTGTTCCACACTGTGATACTAGGATATTTGTGTTGTAAAAGACTAATTTACTAGTATTTTCACTTTTGTACAATGCTTTGTACTACTTTTGTACAAGGGTTCAACAATTATTTTCGAATGTCCAACAAAGAGAATGGAAAACGAACGAAATGAGATACATGTTTCTTGTTTCTCCACAATATGTATTCATGTTGTTCACACAAAATGTAATAAGTGAATGGGAAACCATTTTAGTGATGTCATCATTCTATCTATAAAATAAATTAAGAAAAACTAGTGGTGTGAAGACAGCATGTACTTGGTTGCATTCTTGTGATGGTTACATAATATTAAGATACTACTTTTTTAAACCATAAAGGTAAATTCTTCCTCTCAAAAATCAGGTGTTAGTAAAAGTAAATGTGTATCCGCACTTGCATTTATATATACTTTACACATTTATGCATGCATGAATCTTTATCCTGCTGCAATCTTGCAAGGTCTTTAAATAAAGAAAAATGAGAAAGATGATTAAGTCAAAAATCTCTGATTTAAAGTGATATATGAAGAATAATTTGAAAAATCATTGATAACAATTTTTTAAAAATTTCTACTATTCTACATATTATGACAAATTTTGTAGCGGTCAATGAACAATCTACATAATTACTAGAAGTTGATGGCATGTGCTGTTTAATATAATTTTCAATAGAAATAGCTTAAAGATGGTAGTTATATTCTATTATTTCATTCAACTAGAGTTCTTCAAACAACATCAAGACAAAATTTGGTGTAGAAAGAGTTGGTGTAACAAAAATAAATTACTACCAAATTTACTTACCTGGTTATTTACCGAGGTGAGTACATGAAAACCTCATTTGTTACATTTTCAGCAATAATGCGGGTACTCTCTCATTACACAGATGCTGGTAACAAAAGACAGCAGCACCTAACGTGACATGGAAAAGACTGCTGAAGAAGTTGTTTAAGGACCTTCAATGACATTTGTACTCTCATTAAAAATCTCTCTTTGTATGATCAAGTGGTTCTTGTACATCTTTTATTACAAAATATTTGCAATGTGAATACGCAATAAAACAAGCACAGATTATTAAATCAGAATGGCAACTTGAAAATCAGATAAAAAAATTAAAAAATAATTGTAAGGGGAATATATTATTTGCAATAAACATATACATTTCCTTTTCATCTCAATGTTCCTGTAGAATAAGAAGTCGAACCATAAAACTGTAAAAACTGAGGGGTCAGGGCATGCTCTAGACTGGTAAACTATCCCTTGTTTTCTTTTGAAGGTTGAAAGCTGGCACACCAAAAATATAACTTTTCTTCCTAGAAAAATGTATACATGGTTATAAAAAATAAAATACATGAATGAAACATATTTTAATAAAAATGTTAGACTTCATGATATTCATATATTTCAGGCCCTTGCAAGAAGATTGTTCCTAAAAGTACTATTGGAACACTTTTAGAGTGTACTTATAGGAAATCAGAGAGGCAAGAATTAATAATGAATTTCAAGAACCAAAATTACGAGTAAGAGACAAATTTGCAAACAAGAAAAGGGAATATGATATAGTGCAACCAGGGAAAAGTTTACAAAGCTGCGTCCAAGAATTATTGTAATCACAATTTGAAAAATTACCATTTTTAGCTGCAGGATGACAATACTGTCTCTATGCAAGAAGTATGTACTTCTTAGAGAAAGTAAAAATGTCCAGGTTTTGAAATTTGATTGTCTGACTGGCAGCAATGTCTTGACAATATTTTGAACTGATAATAATTTGTAGGTGATGACCAGCCAATTATAAAACAAAAGGTGGTCCAAAATTTCCTTTTTTTATTTATCTGATATTTTAAGTTTACAAAAAATGGAGATAGCAGACAACAATCATTTTTAAAATTAAATGTTTCAAGGTAACTAGGGAATTTTAAGTAATGCTCACTTTTGAAGCCAGAGTACACTTGTTCAGGTAGGGTTTTTATTTTCACATGCAACTCTCAATTAGAAATCAAGTTTAAGAAATGGTGACTAAGCAATTGCTTGTTGCTCCTTTGTCACCCCTTTGACTTTCAGCATCATTCCAACATTGTGTTTCACGAGCCTTCAGGTGGGATTTCAGTTATTTCAGTTGGAGGAAGAAGAAAGAGCATATTCTGTTTTTCAGCAGAAATTAATTCTCATTTAATACATGATCATGAGAACTCAGGTACAGTAAAGTAGAATTCCTTTGATGATGTGGATGAAGGATTAACACATCACCTTGATAGTAGTTCACTTTGGCACTAAATCTTATTTAAAGTGTCAGTTTAAATTTATTTTTATTACTTTGAATAATTAATAATTAACTATTTATTAATATTCTACAAATCTATGAATTAATTTTATTTAAATTTTCTTAATTTTTTAATTTCCAGGTTTTAATAAATCCATTCAATCAATAGCTTTGCTGGAATTGAATGAACCTAACAAAAACTATATAGTAATAGTAATAATAATAATAGTAATAATAATATAGTAATAATAATAATAGTAATAATAATAATAGTAATAATAATAATAATAATAGTAATAATAATAATAGTAATAATAATAATAACAATAATAAATAATACACAAACATCTTGGTATTATTTTAAACGTTCTCACTGGTAACACTCAATCCCCAAAACCTATTTCTCTCAGTTTTTCTTTTAAGAATCCTCTTTGATAATACAAAGAGAGGAACTGAACACACAGTAATAAAGTTTTTCAAATACTGTACAAAGATTAAACTTGGCAAAAAAATTACCTATAGAACAATGATTTAAAAAAACTTAAGTAACAATAAGTAACAGCAAACAAAATTCAAATATGGTTTCTCAACTGGAAGGTAACCTTAAAAGAATCAGCTCACAATTAAAATGTCCATGAAGAGTGAAAATGTCCGAACACTTTTCTATCAGTAATGATTAATAACAGAAAAACTTTAATTCAATATATAAGGTTATACTATATTGAATAAAAATAAAAGCGTAATCTATAAAGGTTTCATAATGTTAAAAGATATGAGAAACTAACTTCTTTCAAAGGAGCGACTAAGAACTGGTTCAGTCAATTGTAATTTTCGATTACATAAACTGAAAGTTGTTTTGGTTCTAGTCATTGTCCTTTTATTTAAATTCCACAACACCTTATCTCTAATTGTTCTTTCAAGTTCTTATAATTTTATTAGCAAGAACCAGCAACTAGTACAAAAATATTAAATATGCTGAATATTTTTAAGTCAAAAAATTATTCAAGTTGGCTTAAAGGAGCTCAGACCACACTTGAAATTTAATCAACACACTAAATGAACATGACCAGGAATACATACCTCTGGTAATGCTGATGTCTGAGGAGCAGGTTGAGATTGAGGCAAAACCGCCATTGTAACTGGAATGCCCTGTGAAGATGTAAAGACATGTCGCACTACTACAGGAGGGGATTGCTGTCTCTGCGGAGGGTACACATTGCTAAGGCGAGCACCAGTTTTGTTTGCAGTTCCCACACTTTGTTTCATGTGGCCACTAGTACTAAAGCCTGCTGTCTGAGTAGCTGATGTCAGAGGCGGAGTAAAAGGTTTGCGAGATGAAGACACAGCACCATGTTGGGTAGCTGAATTATGAGTTGACTTGTTCTCCGACTTCTTGCTGGAAGTTGAGCTAGCAGTTGCACCAGCTGCCGCAAGTAAAGAAGGTGGTGGTTTCAACTGACAACGCAGCTGATCACGGTTGGGGCTGTTCTGGATCACAGCCTGGCAAATCTGATAGCTTCGTTCCAAATTAACGGCACCAGGTGGTGGTTTGTTTGAACCTCTTCCACTTCGCCCAGATCCGGCCTGCATACAAAAATTTTTTTTTCATTTACAATGGTACTTAAAAAAGATACAGCATGTTGCAAGACCTTTTATTCCAAACTAACTAATTAGTTTAACAATGGCATTGTATATTTGTTTCATTCTTTACAATGACATTAAAAACAAATTGAAAACAAGTAATTGTAAATTGTTCCAGTAACACCAAGATTTCTATAAACTATTTTTTTTTTAAATAAAATATTTTAATTAAATAATTTTAGAGATTCTTGTACAAGTTGCAATGTCCTTACAACATACTTAATACCTTATAATATATGATAATGATGTTTTTGTTCTAAAAACAATGAAAATAAGCATGAAATTGTGATCGAAAATCGGTGAGAATATGACCAAAAATCGGTGAGAATATGTCCAAAAATTCATAAATATGATCTAACAGAATATTTATCCACAGTATTTTTCAGGTAATATCAAGGAAATGCAATTTCTTTCAGAATAATAAAAATGTATGTAAATGATGATTTGTGAAAAATATTACAAAATACTTATAATTTTTTTTCGTTTAGTTAACTAAATATGATCATTAATTCCATGAAAAACTGTTCAGCTATGTTAATAGCATGTGTGCAATTAAAATTCCGTTGTGCAATTAAAACTCCACACCTACCAATCAGAAAAGAAGCCAAATCATTTAATTTACATCACAAATATGTATTACAACAACTACAAATAAACAATGAATAAATAAGACTAAATTGGGAAAGTAAACAATAAGGTAGCTGAGCACTGAGCTGAATTGCAAATGGTTTCAAATTGAAATATATTTTTTGGAAAAAATTGATTATTAAATATTATTAAATTTATTTTATGTCAAAATAATTAGAAACTGTGTGTTATGTGCTATGAGAAGAAGTGTATTTAACAAGTTTTCTTAATTCTGGGATCCCTACCCTAAGCCATTTACAAGTTGAATTGTCAATAGGGAAGAAATCAGCACTTTTGGCAAGAATTGTTAACAAAATATTTGCTCCAATGTAATAAAATCTACTTTCTAGGTGAAATCAGCTATAGATTTGGGCTTTTGTCCCTCATCATGTCCTTCATAAAGGAATATTCTTCCTGCCATGACAATATGGAGAATGATAATTTGAATAAGTATATTTCCCACTAAACTCTGATATTCACTCATATTTTGGTATTTCATGTGGTCCATAAAAGGGATCAGTAGACTAAAACATCCGATTTTCAAGATTGAAACAAAAATTTAAACTAGTGGTGCTACAGAATGGCATACTTTTTCTCAAACTGGTTAGTTTCTTAATTTCGGGTCTAGCTTTTCGGTTGTGCCCCATTCTTTTGCCAGCTGCAATCTATCATCAAACATAATTTTTTCACATTTACTAAATTTTTCGGTCTTTTAATGTAAAAAATTTTTGTCAAAAAATTTGGAGCAGATTTTACGAAAAAGTCATTTAAGTATTACTGTAAATGCGAAATTTGAAGATCTATTTCAAGGAACGTTTTTGAAAAAATTCATTAGAAATCATCTGAACCATTTTAACTACAAATGCAATTGTGTTTACAAATTGCAGAAAAAGTGCTTATTAATGGCGTGAGAGATATTTAAAAAAAAAACAACAACAACAACAACAACAACACAAGAATATTACAAAACGATCTTTATATGTAGAAGTGGGAACACTTGGATTTTGAGGTGAAGAACTTAAATCCAGTATTCAAGTCCCATTCATTCAGCCTATTAAGGACATGTTGTAGTTGCCTTTGAATAACGTTGATACTCTTGGATGAGAAAAATCATCAACAAAAAGCAATGACTTTGCAGACTCTCATGTAACTGACCCTAAGTCATTGATTGCAAAGGCAAACAGAGTGTCACTCAAAATACACCCTTGGAGAACTCCATTTTCCAAAGGGAGACTGAAAGATAATTTTCCGCCAACATGGACTACAAAATAAGTTAGCAAGGAACAATGAGAGCCGACTTGAGTCCCCAAGTGATGTATGCCGTGCCACCCGGTCACCTCATAAGTTTTCTCTATATTAAAGAAGATGGCTACAATGCTGTCATACTATGAACGAAGTGAATATCTGGACGCGAGTGACCAGGTGCTGCAAAGTAGATCTATGCTTCCTGAAGCCGCGCTGGAAAGTTTCTTTGCGCCAGGAGCCAGACCAGATGACGGTTTATCATTCACTCTAAAAGCTTACAAACTCAGCTAGTGAGCGAAATCGGTCGATAACTCAAAGGAATCATTCGGTCCTTTCCTTCCTTAAGGCATTACTTTAGCCTTGTGCCACATTACAGGAATGGAGTGTTCCTCCCAAATGTGATTAAAGAGGCAAAAAAAGAACAATTGTGCATCCTTGGGTAGGTGTTCTAACATTACTAAATTTTGATCCCAGTGAATAAGCTGATAAGTCATCAAAGAACAAAAAATAACTTTCAACTGATGCTGTAATCCAGGAATTAATGATACTCAAATGAAGGTGATATTCAAACTAAACTATTTGTGTGTAGGTTTTGTTTGACTATCATTAACCCTTGATTTACAGCATCAGTTGAAAGCCGTTTTTTGCTCTCCTGTAAAATTAAGTGTTTTCATGACTTATCAGCTTATTCGCTGGGGTCAAAGAAATCTCATAATAAGAAACCTATTTGTCATAACGGCACAATCATGAACATCTGGTGTTTGAACTAAATGGCCTTAATCATGTGTCTGTCACACAAGTATTAGGCATAATCCCCCTCCTAACTGTCAAACACTTACAAATTTTAATCAGATTGTAGTAGCCATGTTCAGGGTCAGGCCTAGCTCTACAGCATCTAGTAGAGAACAAAGTTATTGCACGTTCAATGAACTGTTTTAGAATGTTGCTCGCAGGAGCTTCTTTTACATCCTTCAAATCACAGATAGGGATTTTAAACTTAATTTCTTGAAATCTTTCAGTTAATGGTGTTCATGTTTATAAAATTTGACCTTATTATGAAAGCCCTTGCTATTGTCCTTACCTGAGAATCCCTCCCTTTACTCTTGCTAGAAGTCTTGTTGGATTGTGAAGAGGGAACTGTTGATGGTTGTGTGGCAGGAGCTGCAGTCAAGGCACGCACAGGTGTGGTGCTTGTCAGGGCCAAGTACGGTACAGCACTGCTGCTGGCAACGGCAGTGCCAGTCTTCAGAGGAGGAGGTGGAGTGGCCACCATACTAGACGTGACAACTGGAGGGCATAACGATTGCCCTATAGACACAGGTGTCTGTGGATGGTTTAGAGTCGATGCCACAGATGGTAAACACACTATGGTGGTGGGAGGAATTACTGTGGTAACACTGGTCTTAGTAACAACAGGAGCTGCACAGCCAGGATTCGAGGATGTGCTGGTGATTCCACTTCCTACAGTGCTGGTCACAAGGCTGTCAGCGCTGGTCACTGCCTCAGGAGTTAGTGTAACTGGAAATAAATCACAAAAAAATTTGAATTGAAACAGTTTAAACACAATGAATTAAATTTATAATTTTCTGAAGCAGTTACAAAAAAAGGATTACCTCAGTTTTGAAGTATTACTTGCAAGCAGTTTAATAATTTTGTAATATTTTCATGCATGTAATAATTTACACCTCCATAAAGAGAGAAAAAAATATGAATTGAAATATTTGTGTACCTTCCAGTTCGAGTTTGACGGCCTGACTGCTAGGGAATTCCTGGAAGGATGCAGCAACCCCCTTATTTGCATTAGATTGCTCTCCATCTCCTCCTCCCACTGCCCCCGCTGCAACTCCCACCCCTGCGGAATACGGCCAGTCCGCAGAGGAAGCCAACGCTGCCAGAGCATCACTTGTGGGTGGTGCCAAGAAATTCCCTTCCTCTAATCGCACCTCCAGCTCTTCCTGCATTGGAATCACTTCAACTGCTGGCTCATCCACCCCAGACGAAGCTGGCTCAGGTTCCACCATTGTTAATGTAACTGGTACTGCCACTGGCACAGCCTCCAAGGCAACATGCAGGGGTACCTAAAACATAACAATTTCTATAGAAACCATAAAATGACTAAATGGTAATATCACTAAGAAATTCAAACATTAATTTAACCGGATAACCATTTTTGGTAACCAAAATGATCAACAATTAATTAATAATTAATATTATGGATTTTACTGGTTATTCAAAACCTGTTTTTAATAGCATGAACTTGTTTTCTTTCTCAATTCTTCATTCAAATATTTACAATGTTCAAGTGGTTTATCTCGTTAAATAAAATGAGTAAGACTTTCTGCAACCACATTAATATGAAATAAACATGACCAATGTCTGATAACTTTATTGTGAATATCAGGAGAGAGAACAACGCACAAATTTTTCAGTTAAACAAAATAAACTACAAAAAAAGAGAGACAGACAAAGCGAATAATAACAGTTATTTCATCAGAGTATTTCTAATAATAGTGCAAAAAATAAACTAGAACAAGAAGCAAATAAAAATAATACAAAGATAAAATTATACTTTTGGTCAAGACACCAAGAATATAGAAGTTCAAATATAGAACATTGACTCAGCTGTTATTTTATACATATATTATGATTGATGTAAGTACCTCCACAAATAGAAAAGTGAGGAATATAAAAGACATTTCTGAAAATTGTCTTCAGGTTTACCATAACTATTTGATACTTAAAATTCCAATGTAATACACATTTTTTTCAATAAATAAACATTTCCATTTTAAAAGAGAAGGGGCGTCAAGAAGGTTGGGGAAACTTGCCCCAAGCCTTAACTTAATTGGTGCTCTGAATTTTTTTTATTCAAAAAGATGATATATCTAATCCAAATTTAACAATTTTTCGGTTATTTCTGATGTGTGGAGAAATGAATTCTGGTTATCAATTGGGCGAGGGGGGAGTATTTTTTTAAAAATAAGGGCCCCCATGGATCAACTGCCCCAAGCCCCAAGTTTTCTTTGTGTGGCCCTGGAAGTGTCAAAAACATGAAAATATGCCCCTCACACCTCAGTATTTAAGGAAAGAGAGACTTGTCATGAAATTAGTGGGGAAAATCAAGAAGGGGATCTAAGCAACAAAAATCTGTGAAGATGCAACAAACTCTTACCTACCTAACAACAAGGCTTTGTATTACATTTTCTTTACCCCCACCACAAATAAGCTAATAAAACAATTAGAAAATTGATTAAAATTAGATGACAGTTAACCAATTGCTTTGACATATCTCACCGAACCACTTCACCCTCACCTGACCATGCCTTTATCAGAGTACCTTTTGAAAGATTACACCTAAATATAACTAGATTGGAATAAGAGGAAAGCTACATTCGTGGATAAGAAGCCATCTTCACCAGCGAAGTTTCATAGTCAGAATCGGTGACGGTGTCTCAACACCTCATTCAGTTATAATGAGCATCCCACAAAGATCAATTCTTTTCATTCTTTATATCCCAGATTTGGGAGACAACATTAGGTGAGAATGGAATAATTCTGGTGACAACAAAAAAAAATCTTTAATAATAATTTATAATCTTTAATTTAATAAAGATTAGGATAGTCTTCAACATGATCTACAGATAATGTGCAAAAGTACAAAGAATGCCGAGACAATGGTAATTTTCAGTCCCCTTTCGTATCCCAAATTCCAAATCCACTTACTCATACATCACTGAGAACATTATTATGAAACAGAAAACTAGGCAAAACCACATAGCAGTGTTGATCTCGCTAAGTATCAATTAGGAAGGAAATGTAGTTGCTGTGACTAGGCGAGTTAACAGAGTTTTGTATCTCATGAAAGTCCTTTCTTATGCTGTTCTTACTATGTACGAGAACAATACATATAACAAATTAAACTTCTTTTACCATTCCAATGCTACATAGGTCCCCTACTTCCAAAAAAGTTTTGAGCTTATTAGACAGATTCCAAGTTAGACCACACAGTTACACACTGAACTCTGTTCAAGCCAGAAACCTGTAATGTTCAATGGCATTTAATGCAGCATACAAAGGAACCTGTCTGATGCTCAAACAGACAGCTTTGTTCTGCAGCAAAAGAAGATCTTTCAAAATAGAATTTCTGTGAATTAATTACAATTGGCAGAGAGAGATGCTTTTTCGTCATGGCAGCTTGCCACTGAAGATCAGCTTCAGCTGTCAGTATAGAATTTGACCTTGGGGTGGCTTGATCCTACAGGTGTATGTGGTAGGGGAATTTTCTCCCTCCCGGCTCTCCGAGTATTAGAATTTGTACAGATATGACTTGTTCACACTACTCTCAGTCCCGCAATGAGAATCATAACACCTCGCCCAAAGCCGCATTGCCATATTCTTTCAATTGTCAGAAATATGTTTAATTTCAAGTTATTGGTGATTTCTTCCAAAAATACAATTTATGTAATTATCTTTTTATAATTACAATAAAGTCATGTACTTTACAAGTTTTAGGATGGCGATATCAATATAAAGAGTCATAAAATAGACAACCCTGCATAAAACTGTACCCTCCCTAAAATGGAATATTTTTTGTCACAATCGATTCTGGCTTACGACAGATTTTACTGTATTATATTTATATTAGATATGACCCCAAAACAAACACTGCTCACAGCTAAACACTAAAAGAAAGGTATTGAACAGAATTATGCAAACAAAAGTATTATGTAATTAACATTAGGGTAATTAACATTAGGGTTTATTCACAAATTACAAAACGCAAAAGAGGGGAGAATTAGGGCAGAGGTATGCTGCGTTACACAGGGGTTGAGGGTGTTAGTTTAGTGTTACGCAATGCTAGAATACAATTAAATGAATGCAGTAGACATTTGTCGATGCATCTATGATGGCAAGTGCACAGCTTGTTGTCAGCAATTTTCTGTTTATGCACCCTTCCTTCACTCAAAGATGTCCCCAATCTTATTGTTAGGCGTAGTCCCAAATACAACTTAATTTGAATTAAAATTACCATACATTTTAACATAAATAAAATTAATATAATTGTTTTCACTGCTTTATAATACATTTTTACTTACTGAAAATTGGTGATGGGTTATCACAAATGTTACTTAACTATTTAAGAGAGGTTTCTGTTTGCATTAATGGTGATTGCAGGGGGAGAAAAGGTACAAAAAATATCCCAAATTTGCATTTTCTAATTTAGAGATGGGCCCTTAGAGCATATGATATATTAAGTTATAATTTGAAGAATTCAAACTTTTAAGATACCTAAAAATAACAAACTGTCTCAGCATATGGATAGCATCAATAATACCAATATCCCTTACCTTTTCATTTGAAGTAGAAGTTTAGTATAAACCTATAGTTTCATTTTCATAAATTTAAAATAATTATTTTCAGTTCGTACATTTTTCTCAACTGTGTTTGGAAAAATAACTAATTCTTGAAAAAACAAAAGAATACAGCAAAATGCCTTTTGTGTCTCCTCAAACAGTGCAATTAGCACTATCCATAAAGTTTAAAGAAAAAATTTGGAGCCGTTCTTGAAAAAAATGGCAATTGATCGTTTTTGAAAATGCGGAAATTGGGGCTCACTTTCACAGAAAACTTGACTTTTCGAGAAACTTTATTCAACATCATTTACTGCACACGTACTCAAAAATACAATTATCTAAACTAATCACCACTAATGAAAATATTAATGATAGACAAGACAAAAAATAACATTAGTGCAATTTTTGATAAAAAAGAAAAGAAACAGAAATGGCAATATGGGGTTTGTCATCTTGTGCAGTACATTTAGCACTATCCCAACAAATTTTAAAGAAAAAAATTCTTAAATCAACTGTTTTTTGTTCTTTTTTAAAATCTCCTAAGTTAATTCATGAATACCGTCATATAGCAGCTAATCTGCATATAAGCTCACTGTAGTCTTAAAGGGAGTATTATGATCTTTCTATTTGTATAAATTAGTAAATAAGTTAATATATTCTCCAACATTGTTTTCTAAATTTCCTTGGGAGAAATTCATGAATAAACGGCTTTCCACCAAAACTGTAATATTTAGTGTTCCATTTGCGAGAACAAACTCTTATTATTATGTGTCATTATGGAGGATGTGTCAGAGTATACAATGATGTGATTGATCTGTATTGCTCATTTTATAAATTTAAAAGTAACATTAAATAACTAATTTTGAAGGATTTTAATTGATGTTTTTTTCTTTATTAATGTCGTACTTATTGAGCTGTACTGTATCGTATGTAAATAAATAAATAAAATTACACATATTTCACGCAAGACAGGGCGAATACTAAACATTACAAGAAAACACATATGACCTTAATGAAAGAACTAATTACTGAGAACAAATTTCGTTTAATGGAAAAATCTCTATCTTCAATTTAGTAGTTGTAGGAAGATGCCGAAAAAATGAGACACTTTTGCAATTTTTGAAAATTTAGAGCTAAGGGTGAAAAGTCAGACCTATGACACCTTTATAAATATTCCATTCTTATCAGAAATTTGAAGAAAAAATTTGGGGCCATATTTGAGAAAATTCTGAAAATATTCCAAGCGCTTCACGTAAAGTATCGCTAAAATTTAAAGGTTCTTTTCCCTTCAAAATTGCAGAGGTTCAAGTGTAGCAGATTGATAGGTTAAGTATTCATTTTGTAAATAATTGTATGAATAGTTTAGAGTGCTAATGGTGTTCACAGACAGACAAACAGATGAAAGTTTTGAAAAAAAACTTTGAAACTTTTTTGGTATTAGGGGACCCCTAAGTATTTCTGCTGAAATTTCAAAGCTGATTTTCTGTAGCATTACATACCTTTCTCTATATTACTCCGTATATACATACACATGGGAGAAAGTAAACATATACATTCCAAAGCATGAATTTGTCTCCACTTCTTATAACCTAAATTAGAAATAAACCTAAGTTGCTCACCTCATCAAGCAGCTTTTCAGTGCTGGAATCAGCAACGGCATCCCAGACACAATCATCAAATAAAGTATCTGTGGCTTGTGTCTCTTCATCATCCTCTTCCTCTTCTTCATCCTCTTCTTCCTCTTCATCTTCCTCTTCTCCTTGCTTAGAATCCTCAGTAATACTTGCCCTTTGACTTTCAGATTTACCTTCATTCTCTAAGCAAATTTCAGATGAAGCACTATATGACGAGTGTTCTTCTGATACATAGTCCGATGTAGCTAAGACGACACTTATCTCACGAACAAGTCCTATTTCACCTTCTTCAACATCCATTGCCGTCTCCTCAGGTTCACACGCTTCAGACTTGAGAGCTACATTCTCAGAGCCTGATACAAGATCTTCCTGGGTAGTTTGTGCTTCACACTGTACACCTACAATTTCTGTTTCCCTACTCACAGAGGTACCACTAGCATCCAAGTCAACAGAACACATACCATTGTCAATATCCGAACACTGATTCTGCACAATAGCAGAAGAATGGTCCACTGTCACAGTTGACTCGATTTCTTCCTCTTTCACTCTATCATTCCCTAACTCAACATTTTGATCACTTCCTACATTAGTGTGTACTGTCTCAGTCCCTGTTTCTGGAAGGTTTTCAGCGGAACTACAAGTTTCTTCTAATAAATGTTGTTCACAATCAGTTACAAGCTCAGGACTGTCAGATCTTGTATCTGTCAAACTATTTTCTCGTTCAGATAAAACTTCACACTCTGCAACAACTCTAAGCACTGAAGGTTCTGTTCCACCACACTGTTCCTCCAAGTCTGTTTCATCACAAGGATTCACTAATTCATTTTCTTCGTTCACTTGCTGCATCTCAGTTTCATCACAGGTAGTTTCACACACAAGCTCATGCTTGGGCTGATCTTGTTCATTTGCTATGGACGCTGGTTCAAATTCCAGTTTTGCATCCGATGCAGATTCGGGTGTTTCGTGAGGCACGTGAACAAACTCGAACTCATCCAGCTTTGCCTCCAACACAGGTTTAGGCTTTCCCTCAGGCACATGAACAAACTCAAACTCAGGTTCAACTTTGAGTTGTAGCTCAAGTTCCGGCTCGAGCTGGGGCTGGGGCTGGGGCTGGGGCTGGAGCTGGGACTCGGGCAGGGGCTCGTGCTTGGGCTCGTGCTTGGGCTCGTGCTTGGACTGGCTCTCGACCTCTGGCTCCGGTTTGGGCTCGGGTTCTGGTTCTGGATCAGTCTCAGATTTGAACTCAGGTTGAAATGTAGGCTGTAACTCTGGTTGCAGTAATGAGTTCGGCAATTGCAACTCAAGATCTGGTTGGCTTTTGCATTCTTGCTCGTCTTCAGACTCGCTTTCTGCTTCAAGTTCAGGTTCGGGTTTAGGTTCAACTTTTGATTCTGACTCCACCTCAAGGACATCATCGAGTTCTGTCCCAAGTTCTTCATCAAGTTCAGCTTCTGAGTCTGCTTCAACTCCAGGTTCCAGTTCCAGTTCCAAATGAAGTTCGTGTTTGGACAGATGTTCAAACTCTTCCTCCTGAAGTTCAAGATCAGGTTCAGTATCAGCTTGGTCCAGTTCAGTCTCCGGTTCTGGTTCCAGTTCTGATTCATCTGCTTGGAGATCATGTCCTATGGTGAGCTCCAAAGTAGCACCATCTGGTAGTTCTTCACCTGAAAATAATTAGATCAGTATTAGTGATTTACTTTATTACAGAACACATGATATTTTTGTTACATGACATTTTATTTATCTACGAATCATTGATGTATTGATATTAAAAATTCACTTAATACATTACATTCTCATTGTAATCACAAAAATCATATCTGCAACTCTAAAAACTAGAATAAATGACAGCAGGTATTTTCACGAAATTTACTTTGAATAACCTTAATCTCATGTGTGAACTAAGTAGAGAGAGAAAAAATTTAAGCAATTCAGTCATTAAGCATTTTACTCCTTTATTTTTAAAAGTGAAGTGTGTCATTTTTTATCATTTTTTTCCCCATTCAAGTTTTTCTAATGAAAATATTAAATCAAATCTTTCCATCTCTTATGGTGCATTTGTCAAAATTGTGAACGAGTTGTCTCGTACATAGGATGTGAAACATATTGTCCATTGTATTAAAAATGATTGATCTAAAAACCAATCACAGACTTATCATGCACAAACAAAATAAACACATGTGAAAGCATATTGGTAATATTACAGGACAAAAATCAGTGCAAAATTCATTAAGATTTTTGGCGGAAATTAAGCTTTGGAATTAAAATCACTATAGATCAGAAGAGTTAACATACATTATTAGAATTATTTGGTAAGTACCTTGTAAATAAAGATATTTTATTTCAGACAGATTCTTACATGCAAAAAAAGGTATAAAAAATATGAGCTCTTAATTATAGATTTTCTTACAGAATTATCCAAATTTTCATACAATTTATTTCACTAATATTAATAGTGCTGAGTTCTGAAAAATTAAATACAACTTCACTGCGTACTATCTTTACTGCGACACTTCTTTCAGCATTAAACTATGTAATTAGAGAATCATAGGCTCTATCAGTCATTTTAAACTTGAATAAAAGAAAGGCATGGAATTTTTCCTCAGATATGTTTAAGCAATTTCAGAAGTACAATAAAAAAGGTAATTCACCATCAATAAATTTTAGTTTACTCTCTGAATTTTTTAAGTACTAAAATATTGATCTAGAACATTCATTTCTATATCTCTAAACAACATAAAATAACTCCCTAAGGTTTTACAATTTAATACTATTTATGATCATTAATTTGGTACGCATGATCTTCGCCCAACTCGACCGGAGTAAGACAGTGAAAATAGGCCTCCCTCAAATGAAAATGAAATAAAAACATATCTATTTTAAAACTTTTGCTTTAATTTTTTTTTAATTTTAATTTTATTATACAAATATTAGTGTTTGATGACAATTTGTTATTTTGCCTTTCAGATTCATGCTCAGGCATGGGCTTCGTGAAATTATATAATTATTATTCTATAGGTGTTGTGGTAGGATATCTTTGGCATTTTTAAAATAATTAAAGATGTTGTTCATTGCAACAATGTTTTTTAAATTCAAAAGCAGCTTCGATGGCTCAGCCATCAAATAATCAGTTGTCTGATACAAGAAGAAAACCACAAATAAAAAACATTAAAACGTGCATAACAACAAGATTATGAAAGGTTACAATAATTTTACAAATTTTTTGAAAATATATTTGACAACGGGAGAAAGAAAAAGTGGGGGGGGGGGGGAGGGGGTTAAGCCTTAATACTAAAGAAAAGCGAATGAAAAATAGAAATTACGGACACGTAAAAATTAAATTTTTATACAGAAAACATAGATCAGCTCAACTTACCATTTTCTATGTTTTTGCTGTATAAAATAATTTTTACGTGTCTACTTTCTTTTTCATTGCTTTCCTTTAGTATTAATGCTAACCCCCCCTTTTTTTTTTTTCCGTTGTCAATATATTTTCCAAAAATTTGTAAAATTATTGTAACCTTTATCATAATCTGTTGTTAAGTTCACGTTAATGTTTTTTGTTTTTGGTGTTTTTCTTCTTGTATCAGACAACTGATGATGTGGCTGAGCCATCGAAAGCTGCTTTTGAATTAAAAAACATTGTTGGCAATGACAACATCTTTAATTATTATTATTCTAGACAAGTTTTAAACATACTAATATTTTCTCCTTTCCCTATCACAATGAAATACATAACAACATTCTTGATAGTTAGTTTTTAACAACAAGATAGATGATTTTACTTTAACTTCCTTTTCCTCATAGACATAATGAATAGTTTGATACAGAATTGCTAAAACTACAATAAGATTAGTGGTCCACAATGCCACAAATACTCCATATGCTGTTTTCAACAAGACAGAGAGCAGTTTGTCACTAAAATCTTCCACAGGAAAGCAAGAATTAAATCGTTTGAATTGTTTTCAAGTCCTCTTTAGTTTGCTCTTGAGACACAAGACTTTGCACTACAAAATCCAGTGTGTTTTTATTACTCTTTAAAATAAATTTCAGCAGTGTCCTTTTAGTTATTTATGAATGATATAAAGACTTTGGAGTTTTCATAACTGATTTTGATTTAGGTTACGGAGGAAAATTTAAACAAGCAAAAAAATAATTAACTGAAACAAACTTTTATCCACTCACCAATTTGCTTCAGCTTCTTCAGAGCAGGATCATCCTCAAGGGTTTCTTCAGCAGCACGTTTTTCAGCTCCGCATGACTCTTCGAGATCCCCACCCCCTCCTGCAGCTGCTTCCCGTTCTCGGAAACTGGCAACCGCTCGGGTCACAGCGCCCACAGTCCGGGGCCTTCGAGCAAAGTTCGGCACACTTACAGTAGACTTGTTATGACGTCGCAATTTTATTGTAGTCTTGAGCGATGGCCTTGCAGGACCAGGCAGGAGGAGAGGGGTTGCTTCCACAACAGGCTCCGGCTTCTCACCCCAGATCGGTTCAAAGTGCTTCAGCTACACAAAGATGGACATTTATCCAGTTAACTTATTTTATGCACATAAATATTACAAAATTGCGAAATTTACAAATAAAAACAGGCTCTCTAAATGAGCCAAATAAATTAATAGAAACAAAAAACAAAGCATCACCACATTTACCTGTATAGGAGTCTAGTTTTTTTCATAAATATCACAGGTGAAAAATTTGGGTCATCTTATATTCACACATTACGCTTGGACAGATAGGTTCAAAGTTTCTACATGGCCATTTCATTTCACGAAACTCATATGTAGGCATAACAATAAACTGCAAAGATGGTAACAATATTGCACGTTTATACTCGCAGTTGTATTTTCAACATCCACCGTGAATTTGCCGGGCCTTTCAGACTAATACTTTACAATAGGCCGGTAAAGAGGTAATCTCACATGAATGATTGAATCAAATGAAATGTAACGTGGAAACGAATGCCGAGATATGTCACGTACTGAGGGTTCGACACGCCGAGTGCAAATCCACACTTGCATGGCCGCCTACTCCCAAACCAAATATGTAATATTTCTTACCTTCCTTCTTCTCTCCCTCTCTTGATAAATGAATTAAATTTACTTGTTCTGCCTAGCCACATTAAATCTATTAAGCATACAGCAAATGATTCCAAAAGAGGTTCATTCGAAAATATTTTTTCTTCACTACATAAGTGGATTAAAAACAAAGTACTTGATTTAAAATGAATTACATTTCGATTGAGCATACAATGCTACTTAGTCAAGCTATTGCACAAATCTATTTTGTAACATGGAATGAGTCTGCTAGTTAAAATAAATAATTTTAATTAAAACAGTCTTCACATACTTTCCAAGGGTCTAAACGGCTCATTTCCTTCTCTGCTTCAGCCTTTAACCTTTGTTGGTTCTCTGGTGTAAATTCACCTTCCGCTAATCTTTCTGTCCATTCTAGACACGCTCTTGCAAAGAATTCATTATTAAGTCCAGAAGTATTGAGTCTGAGAAAACAAAACATAGTTTTAAGAGAAAATGCATTATAATGCAGAACAAAAACAAGTTTTTTCAGGTTACCAAATATGCAATGAAAAACAAAAATCATTTCACAAACCTTATGGAGTTGTCAGGTTGCTGTGCAACAGCATTTCGATCAACATCAGGCAGCAGTTGAACTAGCTTATGTTGATACAAAGGAGGCAAGCTTTGAAATGTATGTTTGTTGAGGAGTGCACGCAGGTTTGTATTCACCAATATTGAGTCAGGGGTTTCCAAATCAATGCGACCAGCTTTTGTTTGTTCCAACTGAGCAGCTGCACTTAATCGCTTAGCTGATCGCTTTCTCACTGGCTGCTGTTTCAGAGAGAACCCAGGAATGGAAGCCAGTACTTCCCGCATAGTTGAAGGTTTAGTTCCCGCTGCAGCTTCAGCACTGCTCCCAGATGTAACCCCAGAATCATGATCTACAAAAAGACACAAATTTTACAACAAAAGATCATTTCTGTAACAAACTCATTCCACAGAAAATAACTTCAAAATTTAAAAACTGCATGCATTTTAAAATTTTAATAAAATGAAATCATAAAAGAAAATACAAAACAACAACAATTTTGAAAACATCTTTCAATCATCAGCGAAAGGAGAAAATGCAATTACAAAGAGAAATAACGTGGAAAATAGATAATGGAGAAACAAGGTAATTGTAAAAGTGACCGGAGCAAAACAATTAATAAACAAACTATAAAGGGGGAAACAAATTCACGCCCACATAGGTAATGCATCATGTAGAGAATAATGTTATCAGTAAAGGACAAAAGAGAATACACTGAAAAACAAAACAAGGGAATAACACAATCTGAAAATGAAAAAGACAGATAACTGACAGAAGAAGAAGAAAACAGGAGAGCTTAAGAAAGTTGACAAGGGAGAAAGTACTACTAAAAGAAAACTACAACAAAGGATATTTCAAACAGCATTTGAGAAAAATTTTGCTGATGCATCAAAAGACAAAATTAATTATTGGGCATTACTTAAATCATCAAAATTTATTTTTAGATGTTAAACTGCATATTCTAAAACATACCAAAAATCGCAAATAATACTACAATGAACAGCTGTAGTTCAGAAAATACTTGCATTAATTTCCACAATTAAAACACAAATAAACCAACAAACAAACTAAAGGTCAATACAATTTGCAGTCTGTAGACCATTCCTCAACAATTTTAATGCAATAATTTTAAAATCCATTATAAATCTAACAATAAAAATTAAATATTTTTAGTTACACAAGTATTGATTACTGATGCACACAGTGAATCACTGTTATCACTGACAGTGATTACTGATATCACCTAGTGTATCAGAAATTTTTTAAAATTTCTTATTTTTCATGCATCCAGAAAAAAACTAATAAATATTCGACCCATAATTACACAACAGTAACCGACAAAGAGAAAATATATTTAAGATTCTGCTTCATTTAAGCTAGAACACTGACACAGCAATTAAAATAATTTTCAGTTTACTTATGAAAAATTAGTCTTACCAGCCCCAGAGCAAATAAAGAAATGAATTCCTCCTCGCGAATTCGTAATTGAAGCAATTATAAGATGCTACAAAGTAAAAAATTCAAAATGAAAATCAATAAAAATAAATTCAAAATCATGCATTCAAGAGATGATGCCCAAAAAACAAGGTAATCTCTCACAAGTTGATATCCTACAAATCCAAGCTGCATCACATCAGTCAGAATAAATTAATTAAAAAGCAGAATAGCTGAAGCAAAGGAGGCATTTATAAAAAATAACTTATTGCTCAAATATAGGGATGTCACACTCAGAAGACAAAAGAGATTGAATGAACCACTTTTGTCGTCTATCTGTTTGGATTGTAGGCAAGTGCACATTGGCAACATGAACATTAAGATAACCAAAAAATACAAATGCTGCTTTCGCAGAAATGTAGGGTAGGAGGAGGAAGATATATATGGGAAGTGAAAACAATGAATGAAGTATTAATGCAAATAGATGGAAAAAGATCTTTACTAAAGAATGTTGAAAAGAAGCAACAACTGCAGCATTTAAAAAGATTCACAATTTAGCTTACAGCTGAGCAAGGAGAAAGACCAAGGCCAACATTAATGGATTTCATATTCTTTTAACTAGAGGTGATACAGAAAGGCATAGAGTTTCTCATAATAATTAGTTTTCCAAATCCTTTCAACTGGACCAGCTTTTTGGTTTTGACCCACCCTCTTCCTAGCAGCCTTCTATTGCTGCCTTAAGCAAGTTTTTTCACATTTCCTCAATTTTTTGGCTCCCTAATGGCAGAACTGAAATATGACTAAGAAAATAATAGAAGAGTAACGATTGGTCCCATGCAAATTTTCATTGAAAAATTTGGAGCCACTTCTGAGTTTTCAAGAAACTTTATTGGAAACTACTTCATGCACTTCTAATCACAAATGCAATACCATATTTAAAAAAACATTAGTAATGTAAATATTAATGATGACATTAGAGGCATTTGTGTAATTTTTGAAAAACAAAACAATAAGACAAAATGGGCTCTTATGCAATCTTAGAGAGTGAATTTAGCATGCTCCATGGATAAAAAAAAAAGAAAAAAATTGGAGCAATTTTTGAGAAAATTTTGTTCTAGTATTTCAGAAAATGCGCAATTCTGAGCTCATTTTCATAGAAAACTTTTGAGTCTTCAAGAAACTAGACAATACATTTAATGAACATGTACTCACAAATGCAACAAAGTATACAACATGGAGAAAATATTAACCTGTGAATGTGTGTGTGAGTTTGAGAAAATTTACATTTGTGTAATATTTGAAAAAACAAATATGACATTTATGTCATTTTATATACCATTTATCACAATGCCTACAAAAAAATTTAAAGAAAAAATTTGGAGCAGGTTTTGTGAAAATCTTGTTACTAATATTTTTTAACAATGTCCATATTTCACTCAAAATTGTTCAAAAAATACTAATTTCTTTTTAATGTACATGACATTCATTAATGAAGTATGTTGAGAAGAACAAATTTCATTTGAAGCAAAAACATATCTTCAATTTGGCTGTTTTAAGAAGACAACAAAAACTTTTGTAATTTTCAAAAATTTATAGTTAACTGTGAAAATCACAGGCAGAACTTTTGCCAAAATCACAGGCAGAATTGTCATAAACAGCATCATAATTAAAAGTGCATAATAACAACAAAGGACTGTTCCTTTCTCAATTTTCAAATGGCAGATTTTAATGAATATTTGTAACAATATCCAATAACACTATTTCTAACTACATTTGCAAATTTATCCAAATGGTTTTTCTGATCCTTCATTTTAATGGACACGTTGTCAAAAAATACTGAGTTTCTCAAAATTGAGTATGCAATATCTGATGATATGATGAAATAAAATTATAGATACCACCATAAGTAGTTCAAACTTGAACTGAAGGTTTTAAACCCTGCTTAATCCTAGGATATTGTCTCAAATTAAATCCCATCAAAATTATAACCAGCCTATCTGAAACACCAACACTGTTTGATACAAATTGCAGTCTTCATCAATGTCCATAAAATCTTCAGCTTTAACTCCATTTCAACCACTGTTTTTCTCTCTCAGACCTTACTGGTTACAGTGCCCCATTAAAAGAAATCCATTGGTGTAAGTTCAGGTGAACATAATGGCAAGTCAATGAAGTTACTTCCATTCTGCCTACACCCAATGAGGAGAGGTACCATCTCTCAGGAATAATTGAAGTTTGCTGTAAGTTTAAGTTGAGGTATACTGAAGAATTTTTGTAGGCCACCCAGTGTTAACAGGCAAGTGAATTTGTTGAACAACAAGTGACAGCTTCAATTCTCAACTGTTTGCTTTTTGAATTTGACATCAAAATTACTAATAAATACACAATACTTCTCATGGACAAGTAAACCAAATTTTCTAATACCAAAACCATCATGTTCAGAAGAATATAAGCTTTTCTTAGACATATTCCAAGCAACTTTTCTTTCTATCAATAATGAAATAAGAGATTTCCAGTTACATAACAAAACTATGGCTAGGATACTCACCTTCGTTGGTCACAGTGGAAGCGGCAACATGCTGCTGCGACGGCCCTAGGTGGCTCTGCGCTGCTGGTGGCGAAAGCGACTTCACGACAATGCGCGGCAGTGGTGCTGAGTTTCCCGCGGCAATGGTGGTATTCTTGCGACGGCGGCGAGCCTGCTGGCGAAGAGCGTGTTTTATCACCTTCTTGCTGTGTGAGATGCGCTGGTGACTCAGCGCCTCAGCAGATGAATCGGCGACTGCCTCCATGCCAGATGCTACGCTACATGGGGCTGACAGCGTGGGTCCCCCCTGTTTGCGGCTACCCACAGCCAGCCCTTGCAGATTCTCATGCTTGCGGAATAGAGCAATGGTCTGCTGCTGTGAGTGGTAGGCAGAACAAGAGGCTCATAGTGGGCAAAATCTGAGATATGCTAGATGTATCAATAGTGTTGAGGCCAATAGGAGCAACCCGAAAACACGACTTTTTTGGAAAGGCAAAAGCAACATTTCATAAAGCATGTTCAGAAATACAGTGTTTCTATTGCATTCATTTCAAACAATAGCCGAAAAGACATTTGTAACTCAGAAATTTGGTTTGACATGTTCTATAATAGAATATATAATAAAGGCTTATGTATATTTATTTCCTAATTTATAGCTCTAGATGGAGAAATTACAATTTAACATCACTAAGACATTGCAAACATTTTTTCACCCTTCACTATAAAGAAATGTTTCTTTGAAATGTAAAATGCAAATCCACAATATCTTAACACAAATTGTTCTAGAATCCATAATACACTTAAATAGGGGAAATTTTATTCAACTTTACTCCGTTTTCCAAATCTGATATCAGCTAGCCCCCCAAAAGTGTCTTGGTATTAAATTGTAAATTCTATATTAAGTTATGGGCAGTTGTGCATAACTGAAGTGCCTGTAATGAAATGAATTTTTATCACTTACACGGTCAATTATCTTTTAGATATCAAAAACAACTCTAGCTTAAGTTACCCTCCGAAATATTGCAAATTTGTAATACCCACACGTTATGAGCTTCTTGAGTGGGTGTTTCATTTATTTATTTATTACTCACTTTTTGTGATGTCCTTGACAACCATATATCATTTCTCACACACGGATCCCATAAATCAATAAAATAAAACACTAATTTTATAGAGCTTGAAATTAAACTCATCCTCAGTAATACACAATTTCCATCATAGGTGTACACAGCCTCAAACAACCGGGGAGGGGCTACATTTCTAGGTCCCCTTTGTCATTGAATTCTTTATATTTCCATAAATCATATTTTACTTGTACATAAAACTCTTTACAAAGAGAATTAAAATATATCATTTATAGCTACTATTAATCAGTGCTTGATTTAAATGTTGATACTTAAATTTTAAAATGTTGTTTCTTATCCATAACAATAGTGATAGCTGTTTCTAAAGCAACCTAAATTAGATAAAACTCAAAAAATCCCTAATTGTCACGTAAAAAGTCACGGGAAAATTAGGGGTAGAAAATATTTACAGAAATAAAATGTTATATCATGTTCAGCTGTGGGGCTCTGTTAAAAATGTTCAAGGGGTCCACAGCCCTACCCTTGCGCACACCTATGGTTTCCATAAATTATCATCATTGTTTGGACGTACTTAAAAGTCAATTTGCAACAAATAAAATATACAAACAATAAGCTCTTCGTGTTCTATTGTAGATAAATTTCATAAATCACATAATTTTATTAACAATAAAGTCTTCTCTATGGATTTTTCTGCAAATTGTGTAATTATTTCTGATAAGGCTGGTTTGGGTCTTGTTGTGACATCATCTTCATGCTTAACATTTAGGTATAATGGGAGGAAATATCTCTAATATTTAACAACATAAGAATCTTATTAATCATTAGTGTGAAGAAAGTGGCAGTAGCACGGTCTTTCAGCTTCATAGACAGCACCTCAAATTCCTCACTAATGTGCATTTGGGATAGGTGCATAAGTCATTGGTTATTAATGCCCATTGGACGACTTAAATACTTGGACGACTATAAGTCGTTGGTTTAATTATATACTTCCGATTACAATTAGTTTACCCTTGAATGAACTTGAATGCTAAAATAAAATCACAATGAACATCAAATAGTTATGTGTTGTATTTGTGTCATTTAGTAAAACAAGCAATAAATATGTGAATGGCAAAATATTTGGCTGTAAACTTATGAACTTTTCTAGCTGGCCTTCAATTACTTTACCTTGCTTGTTTACAAGCATTTTTGTGTAGTTAGGAACCTGAAGTTACCAATAAGAAATATTTTAGAATATACAGCATTATATTGCTTCAAAGTTTATTTTTTATGCCTTAGAAGTAATATTAACCTGCATTGTATTCTGCCAGTTTCTGAACAATAGCAATGGTAGACATCTGTTCTTTATTCATGACTAACAAAAATGTTTGTGAATAATTGCTCAGACCTGAACATTTTAGTGATGTCAATATCCAAGTCAGTGCTTGAACTAACAGTCCATAATTTAATAAATTATAAAAATTTTGGTAATTCCTGAAATAAGTAATGATTTACCCAACCATGTAGTAAATCAATAAATTGTAATACAGAGATTAAGAATTTACATACAAAAATGATTAAGAAATCATAACATTAGGTTAACTATATATACATACAGACACTATAATTTTAATTCTATTTGTTCATGACATTAATTCAAGATAAAGAGCTCTAAAGTAATTTCAAGCATTTCCTTTGCAATAATCTTGTTAGATAAACATGTCACTCACAAAATTAGGTAGTTAATTTTCTCAAATATTTTTGTTTGCAAACGAAAAAGATTCCAAGAGTTCACTGATTAATTATTAGAGGAAACTTGATAGGTTTTTGCTGGTATGCACAGAAAAGTCGCATTCATGGAAAATGGTAGTTGCACCAACCAGTCTCTACACCACAGATATGAATAGCTGAGCAGATTTACGGAAATCACAAGAAAATAATTAAGTTTTGTAATTATTTCTCATCTTAAAACTGCAAAAAATTAAAAAGAATACTAATGGCATAAATGAAAAACCATAATTACATTCTAGAATAAGTTTCTGTAAAATAATAAAATCAATTTCCATTATTAAATGTCTGCACAAATCCAGCAGGCTCAAGGGACCTTAAAAGATCTCAGGATTGTATCTGAAGAAATTTTGCATTATTCTTAAAGTCCTACCTCAAAGAGAATTCGCATTTCATTTTTGAAAGTCGAATAACAGCTTATTTAAGTAGGGAAGTGAATTGAAGGATATAGTTCAATGTTTATTTTGCCACAAAGCATTTCTTGCAATTGTTAGTCAAAACCTCAGTTACCTACCTTTGAGCTTATGTGTCTCATGGATGTCTATATATGACTGTATCTTGTCTTCCACGTCCATCACCATCACTGAGGCTGGAATGGTGTAGCTACTCCACCACCTCCTCCTCCTTCTCCACCAGTTAGGGAAATGCCCTAAATAAAATTACTTGATTTGACACTTCTTAAATGACACTAATATTAAGTCAGTAACTACAACTATAAGAATTTGGTAATAAGTCAAAGTGATACAGCCAATAAGTTAAGTCAGAAGTTTTCAACTTTTTGATGGAGAAAAAAAAAACAACTTTGCTGAAGAACCCCAAAAATCAGTAAAGAACATTCATGTTCAGGAGGCACTTTTTGTTTTCTTTCATTATTATGTTAAGAATATCATTTTTCTGACAGTACAACATTTTCATGGGAATATGTAATTTATAGAGAGCTAAATTTAAATACTGTTTTTCTTGTCTTAAAAGGGCATCTTAGCAAAAAATAGAAATAATTTGAAGTGAATTTTGTTTGCCCGTTAAAAAGACGGAAACGTTGACTGCCCGAAATTACGCTGCATGTAGTCTAGAGCAAATTACTACAAGCTCTTAGAGAACTTGGAAATAAAAAAGTTTTCGCTTGGTATGACATTTATAAGTCTTAGTGCCGCCAAACATTTATATAGATTAATCAAATATTGTCCTTACGTCGGGCCCATCGTCACCTTCAGCCCATATTGATCTTTGCTTTCTGATTAGGATCCAATTTCCCGAGTATTTTTTGGAAACACAAATGTCCCGCTGCACAACACGAAACTGATGTGTTTCAGTTAATAATCCCTTCTCGTAACCAAAATCAACACAAAAGATTAGCACCGATCCACCATATTTGCTTCCAACTTGGGCCACTTGATTGGCGCTGCTGTCTGTCAGGAAGACAACAAAATTTCGTTTCGAGTTGACAATCATCAAATATGCCGCAAAATTACTAATCTTGCTTGTTAGTTTCTCGTAATAATTAAAAAGCTGCAAAATACTACCATTTTCATCACACTTACCTTCTTTGTCCCTCCGTTGGTAGTATTTTTTTTTTCGAACAAGTGGCAGAAGCGTGTTCGTTTCGATTACATGAAATGGGCAAAAGCAGCGTGTCTGAAAGAGAGGGCATTTTTCTTTGATCCGCATTCATTATAATCAAAATTACCTGTCCTGTTGTAATTAATTGTAGCTTACAATCAGCGCAAATTCGTTTGTTCCCGACTTGTGCTAATACTATCTTTCGATTTAATATTTACCCTCGAAATTCTTTCACTTTTATCATGTATTAATTCTCTTTCAAATGTATTTTAAAATGTGTAATTTCCAGGCGACAATTCTACTTTGGAAATTTCTGGGATTTTGGAAGTTAGTAGACTACATAAGGATTAGAGGGTGGAAAAAAAAAAATTACACAGTGGTTAACAGTTACCTGTATTTCTTACTGGTAGGCTTGTGTAAAGTTGTCTGTACCTGTACAGACCACAAATGACAAACTTGTTTTTAACAATACATTGCTTCCCCACATCATGTAAAATCCCACAAAATATATTTTATCATGATTGAATAAAATACTCCTCACAGGAAGCTGTGAATTTGAAATCACTCATGCTTGCTGAAATGTATGGTACAAAGCTAACCCTCAGCAATATATCCACAAAATAAATGCAGGTACAGTTTAATAGCAGCAATTACCAAATTTAATTCAAATTTTACTGTCAATAGCAAAACTAATTTAAAAATAAATTTCAATGTCACTAAGTCATACATTCCTTGCACAAAATTGATCCCACGTGTCAATATCTTAGCGTGATTGCAGCAGTTGACATCAATATACATTTAATGCACAGAATAAAAAATAAATAAATTCTTGCCAACTGGCAAGTGCCCACATCCACACACAAGCTGCACTGTGTTAATTATAGTGATTGTAGGTATAAAACAGTCATTTATCTAGAAGCCATTTCCAGTGAAATATAAAAATGGACAGATTGTTTCCACACTAGCACTCTGGAATATACTGTAAATCATGTCATTTTAAAGGTAAGTCACAACCAGAATAAACTATTACAAAATGGGGGAGGGGAAAATTGACATACATTTTTTATCTTTTCAGTATGAGGCAACCAATACAACTGGAGGCCAGCAGTCTTCCAGAGGCATTATTAGTGTGCTCCAGACTGAAGAATAAACACAAGCTAGCACCTCAACACTAAAGCCACTTGTTTTCTACAAGCGCACATGTGTATGATTTCAGACAATAAAAAGGTATGATTTATGGCATGATATTAAACTACAATGAACTTTGGATAAAGCTTCTAAACAATTCCACATATATAAATATACAAGCAATGTACATCATATAAAAAAACTCACTTCATGCAATACACATCAGTTTGCTGAACAGCTATCTTTCAAATAAAAATACCATGTATTCATAAGTGTAGCTTCTCTGAGCATGAGCCCATGTCTTTATAAGGAAAGTGAGCAGTCTGCCAGCTTTCTGACATACTAGCAAGAGCATTTATGCTGCTCATAGATAGGACCATAAAAATTCCAGGTAATATGAAATGTATATAAAAAGCTCAAGATTGTACGTACATTCCTGTCTCCTCAATTGAGAAAACTATAGCATTTCTTTGTAAATCCTTAAGCAAGCAACACTCTACCTGAATTCCATAAGCACCATAGCAAAAGTGAACCTGACATCTAGCACAGATGCTTTTCCATGCATGTATAACATTTTCCATTCAATTCACCCTTTGGTCCCTGAAAGTGAAAACTAGAAATACATCCCTCTCAATTCCATCACTGCATACAAGGTAACATTAAATTTATCTACATAATGGCAACATGCTCAATCCATCTGACTAGATACAACTAATAATTTCTTCGAATTCAATAAAATCCATACAATATGGAGGTTGGCAGAACTATCTTCTTTCATTGATCTTGCTTAACAGTTTAACTGGTAACATTCAGGGAAAAAAGGGTTGGCAAGCCCAATCACTCAGTCTGGGACAGGATACTGATTCTCTTTAAGCACTTGAGCACATCTCATGAGCGTTTCTGTGCCCACTTCAAATCATCAGCACGTGGTTTGCAGCCAGTCAGTCTTTCAATCACCCATTCAAGTCCTTGCCAAAAATGCAATTTTTCTAATGGCCAATTAAGCCATCCTGTAGTAATGCAAAAGTATGTTTCATGGGGTGCTACATGATGAATACGATGATGACGCCGAGGAAGGATCACATGACGTTCTTGTAAGAACACAACCCACGCTGGGAGTCCAAAGTATGTGTGGGACCACTTGTGAATCTGCAAAAAAGACACAATTATTTATTACCTTATTAACTGAAGTAGTAGCCATTTACTCTAAAATTAAGACTTTAAAGAATAGGAAATTTGTCTTTTAACTACTAACATGCTACCTTAGAAGTACACAATTTTGTTGGAATTCGTAAGAGTTCCAACAACACATATGTTGGAAAACTATATAAACATTAATTGATAACAACAAACTGTGAACAGATGCTAGAAGATATTGAATTATAGAAGTAAAGAATATCAAAGGAATTAATACTGCACGTGTTTCAAGAAATCAAAATAAGTGTAAGCATACTTAATTTCTGCAAATAACTTCATAAAACAACTAGTATTTGTTCACATAACCATTATTGTAGCAAAATCGAGCCAATTAACTGAATAAGGAGCAAAAATAGGCAGGAAAACTTTTGAACTAATATGTATTTAAGAATATTTCGCTCTATTATGCACTTTCAATCTTACATAACTAGCTGCTACAAGAAACAACATTTAGTACACCACAAAGCAATACAAATGTACCTGATTTGTCATTGCCACGAAAATAGCAAGGAGAAATAGATAACAGCTCCGTGAAAAGTTACGTTGCACCTCCTCCTCAGCCAAAGTGAGGAAATCCCAGGTCATCCAAGCAAGGAATGGGATTGTGAGCATGAAGTTATCCCCATTGGTTTCGATGAAGTCGTGACGCGTGATGGATGTAGGATCGATGTGATGTTCACGAAACGGCCGCAGGAAATTCTGCAAGCAACACCTAATCCGTACTCCTCTAGTCTGAAATACCTACTATACACTGATAAGAGCAGAACAGCACTACCATGCATTTACAATAGTGGAAAAAATAAAACAAAACTGATAAGAGATTAAATTTTACTCCTTTAGGTACCAAACATTGCTATACAAGGACCATATAGGCAGCGATGCTCTCACCTTATCATGCCAGAATATACAATACCCTATTTCTCTTCTTCATAGGTTTCATGCAACACATGCAAATTAGATACCGATGCTCTCCATAAGCATTCCAGCATGCTAATTATCACTTGTATGATTTGAGTTACCTTGCCAATAATTGGTAAATCCACTGAGCCCCAGGTGTCAGCACCCCAATGCACAATGCCAGAGCTAAGATCAGCTGTAATGATACCACTCAGAGCTGCAACTACTATTGTGCTCAAATTTTCCAATCGAAAATGAACAGTGATGAAATAGAAGTTGACAACCATAAGAGTTATGCAAATTCCCACACAAATGCATTCTTGGGTGCGCTTTCCTGGAGAATAAAAATATGTTAATACTCAACAGTTAATGGAAAACACTCAATATTATTTCACAAAATTACTGATGCTACACATTTGTAACGTTGATCATTATAACTAACCGCTATCAAAAAAAAGAATTAGAAACACGAGTGACAAAGCATTTTTTCCGATTACTTTTATCGTGCTAGGTGGGCGTGAGCACTTTGACCACAAAACCGGCGAAGGTGAAAGAGTAACAAATCCTTTGAGTTCAAGATGCAAAATGGCAATGTGAGAACTCCCACATGTAATACTTACTAATTTTAACAATGTCAAGATGTGAAATACAGATAACAATGTCTGTTTTACGAGAAAACTGGATTTCAATAAATGTAATATCACCTACCTCTACTGTAAAGATTGGCGAGTTCTTGAGCTCCTTTGTGATGTGGCCCCCATCGAGGTTTAATTTTTTCTTCGTGAGTCACCGCTGAATTAGCATTTGGGTCATCTTCAAGCATAGAATTTTCATATATTTGTTTTTCTGTCTTTACAGGGGCTAAGAAATTCGTCGCCATACTACTTTCCATCACTGCTCTAGTCAAACCATCCCCAGCAAGCTGCATGAGGAATTCCACTTCCAATTTCCACAAAACACGCAAAGCTTATGTTCACAGCATGCACTCGGCCAACACGACATCATGTGGGTAGAACATCTCGTGGAGAAGCAAGTGTCTTCGGACTTCATTGAACACCATACAAACGAGAACCGCCCCTCTTCCCGCAACATTCACACGGATCACGCAAGACCACAGACAGCCGCCCACAATGCACGATAACAATCTGCCCCCTCTCCTGTCAGTAGCAAACGTCATCGTGTCACGCCTATTTTAACTGATCTAGTCTTATATAATTTTTATCGTGTATTAGAAAATATATAATTATTTTCGTCCTGGAGATATTCATTAAAAAACAGCTTCTTTGACTTTCATCCGCCTTGTTTGCCTATAGTTTCGCTTCCCTTTTCCTTGCGGTACCAAAACATCATTTCATTATTTTCAACATGTTTGACGCTTGAGGCTTCTTTCCCATCAATACCATTAAAGTAGTGAGCTGTAATCTTGAAACTAAGTAATTGCCAACATGTGCACCTCCAATTACAAAAAAATTACATTGCCACATCATTTGTATTTTTTTCTGGGCCTTCAGAAAGATCGCCAAAATAAGTCCATATCGCTCGTGAAGGCCATGACATTCATGAAGCATTCATCAGCTCTGAAATTATTAATTCTTAAACTTCGGAAATGTATTGATCGTTGAGACCTACATTCCTCTCATAAAATATAATTCACATTTGAACCAATCGAACAGGTTTTTCTAATGTGAGAAAGTAAAGTAAGTCAAACTTTAAACGATAAAATTATAACCACATTCATTGTACTTTTGTTTTAAAATATTTGTTAGAACCTGTTTTTTTGTTTGTTGTTTTATATCACTCGAAGACCGTATATTGCATTAATGTTGGCATTCAGCATTCTCAACGATTTGAAATAGGACGCAAGATTAATTCATGCGTATATAAATTCTATAATAATTCGTCGTACACATGCTAGATAAATTTAGTGGCATTTCATTAACAAATAATGCAGTATAATGCGTAAGGTTTTTTTCCTTCCCAGTATCAATATTTCGTCAATCCTTGATGCTTTCATGTTCAGAGTGCTTGTTAACATCTCCCGGCGAAAACATTTCTCAAGCTCGAAGTGTGACTCCTTGGCATAAAAACTAGCAAAACAAGTTATGTGAAACTGAACATCATTGAAGCTATGTGTGTCTTATGATATGTTCCTAATCCTACAATGCCATTACAATATAAAATTATACAATATTAATGACAGCTTAGTTGGAAGAATGTTAGGAAAATTTCAATATTTTCTCTTGTTTCGTTTGTGACAAAAAAAATCCCGCGAAAACAAAAATATCAATACAATTAATCAAAGCAATGTGTAAAACTTCTTGCCGTCCACACTAATAGCAGGATGCTCAGTCATATTATGCATTGGGCAACGCACGTCCAAAACATGAGCGTTTTATGCCGTACGCCAACGCTAGCATGGTCTTGAGGTCAATAACCTTTCCACACACCAAAGTAAACGACTTCCAAATAAATCGATAGATTCCAACGATATAAATTCTTTCCTGATGGCCTAGTAAGTGAAGAATGAATTAACAAGGATGCGTTAAAGAAAGAAATAACACACCAAAGTGCGTCCAAGCATTTGATTACAGTGCAGCACTTATGGAGGACAGCATTGCCACTACAAGCACAGTATACTGTGTTGAAAGCGACACTCACCGTGCTGGATACTCGGATTGACATGAAATTTTACCGACTTGTACAGCATCTTTCAAAATCCTTAACCATTAATTTTTATATGCTATGAAGCATTACAAGTAGTGGTTTTCCGACTATTCATGACCTTTCATGACCGGCTGCCTGTCGAAGCGCGGAAATCGCTCTGTGCCGCCGCTATCTGTCTGTAAGTCGTCAGGGTATCAGTTGCCTCTGAGGGCATCCAGCAGAGTGTTAAAAACGGGTGTTTATATGGCAGGTTCGAAAAGACGACAAGGCCGAACACATGCATAAATAAGCCAGATACAATTATTGCAAAGATAAGAGTCCTTGGAAATGTTATCTCGATATGAGACAAATAAATAAATACATTTCACTTGTGCTTAGACTTGACACGTTTTTCTGTGTATTTCGAATGAATATTTTCGCTGAATCCGAATCTAAAGCCTGAATTGCGCCATCACTCTCCATTTTTTTAATCTCAAAAGCCATCCTTACATTGTATTTTTTAGTTCTCGGGAAATGTCAGACCCAAAACCTTGACACTTGTTTCTCTCTGTATTTCGACGCTCCGAATCCGAATCTAAAGCCAGAATTGCGCCACCGCCATTCTTTATTTTTTTTTAAATCCCGAAAAAACACCGCGAGTTGAACTTTTCTTTTGTTTTCGGGGGTCGTTGTCAGGAACAAATGTTTTTAACACGTGTTTATCTATGTATGTCGATGCGCTGAATCCGAAGCCAGAATTACGTCCCCACCCTTCAGTTTTGCGCTAAAAAACACCGTGAAATGGTAGATTGTAGATTTCACGTTTGTTTGTTTCTTTCTTTCCTTCCTCGATTTAAAGGAAACTGAAGGGTGGTAGCACAATTCTGGTTCCGATTCGGATTCAGCACCTCGACAAACAACTTTTTGTGTATGTGCCTGTGTAATAATTAAAACGAATAAAATCGTTTCGCAGCATGAACTTAGTTTAACATGCTTCATTCTACGTAATCTAAAATATGACACATTCGACCAAAACCTTTTGAATAAAAAACAATCTTAATTTACCGATCTCACTCGACTCACAATCGGGCATTTATTTATAGTTGGAGCTCCATTTTGGCGTAGATTTTCGCGGACACTCCAGACGTGTGACGCGCAACGACGTAGGCTGCGACTGTCTCTGCTTTTTTCAATTTCCCCCTCTCCATTTACCCTGGAGAGGCGGGAATTCATTCTGTGTTAAGGATAAAATTTTGAATCGGCCGACTAGGCTTTTGTAGCTGGGAGAGGGTTTTAACTTAAATAAGCCTCCTTGGGCCCTTATTAGTTTAACATAATAGTTAATTAAAAAGTGAAAATGTAGAGTTCTTCGAACTGCTCATGTTTCTTTTATTTTCATTCACTCCCTCATTTATTCTTTATTAATATTTACAAACGCATTCATTCACACATCTATACAACACTTCAATTCACTCCCTCTGCTAGACGAAGTCGCTGGATAGAAAGGTGCCGTCAGCCAATGGGGAGGCCGGATGGCGACATGACTGGTGAGGCAGCCAGGTTGTGTGGACAAATTAGGTATTGTAGTTGGCCTTGCTTCGACACAGGATGACAATGCTGTGCCCTGTCGACCGTTGCGCGAATTGCCGTCGCGCGCGTTTTGGATGTTGGGACCATGTATATTTGCGTAATTCACGCGATCAGCACGAAGGCTGACTGAATTTGGAAAAGTTCTGAATGCGTAACATACTAAACTTTGTGTTCGATTCATTTATTAGTGGATAATTAAATGGATATTAAAATACTATGACTATTATTAAACAAAAATATAAGCCTCTCCCCCAATGATCGGCTAGTTCCGCCCCCCTGATGTTGTCATAGGACACTTCACTCATATTCTATTATGAACTCATTAATGTATATAACATATTGCAAATATGTAGTATGCAGTGGTGGTAGCCGAAATCTCGTGGTAGTTCATATTAATAGAATGTGAATTATGACTTTTTCATTATAATATTAATAAAGAGTTAAATAAAAAAATATTTTTTTAACATTTATACGGTGAGCACATGTGAAATTATTAAAATTTATTATTAAACTGTTGTTATTAATTTTCTTTATGACGATCAAAGTTTTTGTAAGCTCGGAAATAGAATAAATGTTTACAAATAATTTCAATTTTTGTCATTTGTTATTCAGGTTTTACTATTGTGTATCCCTAGATATAGTTTTTGTCAGTGAAATATGGTTAATATGAAGGTTATATTTTGTAAGTTCTCTCCACAGTCTTGTGAAACGGAGAGCGGGATCGATTTTCTGACCTTCAGTTTCAAAAGGTTCAATACTGATAACTATTTTATGTTTTATCTCATTAAATTAACAGTAACCACTTTGAAATCAGTCGATGGTGGTGTTACTAGGTTGGATAGGGTATTTGATTATCACTTACCCCCAGAGTTGGGCAGTATTGAAAATACTTGTATTTAAAAATAGTATTTTATGCAATTAGTGTATAATGTTAAACTTTATTGCATGACTACATGTTTTGCAAACGAGCGAATTTAGGAGCGAGTTTTCAAACTTATACGCATGTAATAAATCAACATTATAAACGAGTTGCATAATATATTTTTTATAACAGCATTATAGAGATATAGAGACATATATAGAGAATCAAACTTAATTTTGCGAAACAACTTCCCTGTGACGACGTGGGAATTTGACATCGTGCAAGTATTAAAGTAGTAAACGGTGGTCGGCTGTTCCGTTTAGCTCTACCTCCCCCGATTCTCTCTCTACGATTGGCTGGATATGTGATGACGCGATCATTCGTGACATAAAATCGACTACGTCATCATTTGTGCCGTAAAATACCCGATTATGAATGATTTCTTGCAACAGAAAAGGTTATTTTATATTGCTGAAATACAAAAAACGTATTTTCGGCACTTCTATAATTTGTATTTTGTTTCGAAAATCATATTTGAACATGTATTTTGTATTTGTATCGAAAAACACTTTCTGGTAGTATTTGTATTTGCAAAATACAAAAATACTTTTTATTGATACACCGTTGAAAATTTGAATTTAAACATAAACAAACCTGGAAAACACAAAAGTCGATAACACGATTTTTTTTATTCGAAGTAATTTTTCATTCACTGCAGCAGTATTTAAAATAACGTTTTTGATATAACTCAAAATTTTAGTTAATCGAAGAAAATTTATTTGCGAAAGCATTTTGAGATGGCGATTAGCATATTTTGAAGGCCACTTCACAGAAATCTTGTCTCATTATGCATCACCACCTCTCTGGAGGGTGGTTGTGCATACTGGTACTTGCGCTATTTAAAGAGCCAATCTCACGATATGATTGTGGAAATTGATAAATCATCAAAATATGCTCTTCTAGATGGAACATATTTCAGTGTTATTGAAGCGTTAGACGCACTTGAAGCAAAAAATAATAAGCAGTAATATTATACATTTTAAAATGCACATAATGGTGTACAATATTCAATGAATTTCACTCGTTATTCTTTTTACAGGGGAACTGATAATTTCTTTACACATTTTAGAAGGTTCCTCTTGGTGTGATGAGTGAATTTGAGAACTAAAATTAGTGGTGCTACAGAATGGCACAGACTTTCTTGTACTAGGTAGATTTCATATTCATTTGATCTTGGTTCCGGGCCTTTTCGATCTTGCTACATACTTTCGCCAGCTGCCATCAATCGCCGCCAAAGTATTTTTTCAAT